CGGCTTTTACGGCATCCTTCACCCCACCCCTTTCCCCTGGATGCGCCTAGGCATCGAATCCCTACATCGACTAGCCACCCCGGTTTAATGCTTCTCTGTATTGCAGGGAAACTATTGGTGGATGCAGTAAGACAGGTACTGAAAGACCTCTACAACGAATCAGCTCTGAGAACATTCGCTGAAAATTTCGTGAGAGATCGCACTTGTAACCAACTAGTTGTATGTCTGCCCTACGAAGACCCGCCTGGCGAGGACGAATGGAAGGTAACTCTATAGATATTGTTGAAGACTAGAACCGGAAAATTTTTAAGAGTTCTTCAAGTTCTCTCATTCGCAAGTAGTCCGAGTTGTAACACCGGTATCAACAACAATTATCTACTGGAAAAAACTGTCGATGGAGCCCTCCTTCGAGGTTCCTCAAAAATATCGCTCCCCGGCGTATCTCAGCACCAATTTGCTATAGGAACGAATAAAAGTACCATAGGCCTAGGGAAAATGCAAAATTAGAGTTCAGAGGAGTCAAATGTTTGTAAAAAAAAAAGAACCTGCAGGGATGCTGGGTCACTTCATGTGTTTTCCCATCTGGTTATTCCTATTGGCAGATTCAGAGGGGGAGAGGGAGGAGAGGAATAAGGGTCTTCCACCCCTCCCCCCCCTCTCCCTCAGGAGCTCAAGTTACACTATTAAAAGAGATAAAATCGTCTTTGACATAACTGATGGAGGAATGACTACGATGGCGGAAGAAGGGGAGGAGGGAGGAGGAAGAAAAATCGTCCACCTCCCGGGGACTGTCCTGTATCCGTCTATGGTTATTCCGCATCTCTGTACAGCATCTACAGAGAATTATCTGTTACAGGGTTTCTTTTTCACCTTCCGGGACTTTATCAGAGAGGAGTACAGTGCTGAAATGGATTGGAAGACGGCCAACGCATGGAATTTCATTGCTCACCGCTTTGGTGGATTGTGCGCCGAACAGTATGAAATCCTTTACAAGGAATCAAGAAAGCATCTATTTCCGTGATTTTTTTCTTGTTCTTTTGATATGAAAAAAAGTTTTGTCAGAACTATGCTTTTGTGTTCCCACGCAATCTGGCCCCAAGGCAACGAAAACGGAAATTCTCAACAGATTTTAATTCATCGTAATCTACTGAGAAAATCCGGACAAAACGGTGATACTAAAAAGACATGCAGGCGTCAATGCGCCAGCGGTCAGTGGTCAAAACTGGTAGAGCTTTGCTGGATACTTTTGCCAAAAAAAAAAAAAAACCATTCAGGTGACAAATTAGATAAACCAAGCGTCAAGATAACCACCAGAGGCTGACCAATAGGTATTGGCGGATACAGGGAGGCGTGGGGGATGGAGGGGAGGAGGGGATGGATGTTTTGTAACCCCCTTCTCCCCTCCCCCGTTCTCAGCGGTACAGGTATTTGAATACTTGAGCAGCTATACGTCATCGAGGTCCGTTGTCACGCCATCGATTCGTTAATGCGCTTTCCGAGTCCAAACGATACTGTATAGGCGTACCATGGGGCTCCTTCACCTCATTGGTGGCCTCTTCAGGCAGCAGAACTGAATCATACCCTATTCCCCCTCCCAGGAAACCGCCCTAAATCTGCCTATGCCAACAGGCGATGCAGCATTGGTCAATGCAAATGAGTAGTTGCTAGTTGCAAAACATCAAGAATTTTGGGTGCCCCATATGCCGAAGTATCACAAGAATAAAACAGTTAAAATTTTGCGGAATTAATTCATCAATACAACGTAAGTAATTCAAACAAGCAATTACCGTCAATACTAAACTTCGGGCCGGTCGGCGCCATATTTTCGTAGCGGATACCCGAGGTAGGGAAAGGGCTAGACTACTGCTTGCTTGCAGAGTACTCTTATAGTAAGGTGGAGCGAAGCACAGATGTTACTTTGCAGGCAGGATTTGGGGACCGCGTAGAGAAGGGAGCAAGGATATAAGTCAGGAACTCCAGCCAATAACTGGAGGCTGCAGCAGACAGAAAGAGACAATATACCAGTACAATGAAAAGTAAATTAAAGCAAAACCAAAGCCTAGCAATAAAAGCAAAAAACTGGAGTTGTGCGAGTGGAAATTGCCCTATAAAAACGCGCCTTCAGTAGGGGGCTTCCTTATTTATGAAGCTGATGCTTAGATAAAGCTAACAAAGAATAAGTTCTATTCCACGATATGAAGTCAGGAAAAAGACAGGCATACTGTATGCATGGGCAGAAATTAGTCTTTGCTTCTGTGAGATTTTGGAGGCAAAAAACGGAGGCTACCAGAAGCAAGACACGAGAATTTTGTGGGATTTTTTCGCAAATCCAATCGAATCTATTCGCACTCGGATTCATCTGAGCATCAACTTCACAAAGAGACTGGACCCTCTATCGAAGACGGGTTTTTGGAAGACAATTTCCATCGCACAAGCTCATCTTTTGTTTGCTTTTTTTTGCTTTTATTAATAGATTCGCTTCTTTTTCGGTTTTTTCCGCTTTTTTTTCATAAGCTTGGGTTTGCTTTACTTTCCTTTGTAGTGTTGTGTCGTCTTTTCCGCCTTACTGTTGCTTCCAGTTCTTGCTTCGAACTCCCGACTAGCACCATTGTTCCCCCCGCTCTATCCTATTCCCCAAACTTTGCCTCCAGAACGGCGTCTGGGTACCCACTAAACACCATCCCCCAATCATGTTCCATCTTCCAACCCATCGTACAAAAATTCGGAAGACAAGTTTTGTATTAAAATGCTATAAGGCATTCAGAAGAAACTCCAGAAGACTCCACAAATGATTATTCTAAAAACTCAAGACGACTATCCTCGGAACTGAAGGTGCGCATCCCAGAAACTGATTTTTGGATTTATCCGTATATTAAATTACTATACAAGAGAGACCCCTTCATAGAGAAAAAAACCATTCCAAGTTCAAAACATAACTCTGTGGAGGCACATAATCATCATTTAACAGATCCTGCGATTTTTTCCTGAGCCTCAACTTTTGTGTGTTAATTTGGAAGAGTTGCTCGCCGAGAACATCAATAATATATCAGTATTGATAAAAGATTATCAATAATATCAAGACAATTTTAACTTGTTACTAGTATTTCCAAATAATTCCTCTCAAACAACAATTTATGCAACATTAAAATTGCCAACAATTAACAGTTGTTAGCACATGATTAAATGCAGAATAAGTATGGCAGATCAACATGTGTGTTAAGATCAGACAGAGAGCACAATACGATTTTCTTGGAATGAGATTTTCCAATTTCGATTTACAATACGATTTTCTTTCAATTTCAATTTTCGATTCCAATTTCCAATTTCAATTTTTTTCAATTTTCAAGTAAATTCCTGAAATGATTCTTTTTTCACTGCTCCTGCTAAGCTGATAATAAAATGCTGCTGATGACACATTTGAAAAATATGCCAAAAAATAATCAGATGAATAGGAATGTATCGATCCACCGAAAAAAAAATTACCTATAAAACGTATGCCAGTGTCAAAAACAGCACAAGAGGAGCATCTTTTATAGTGGCGCTGGCTTCCCCTCAACATGTGCCAATATAATTTATCATTAAAAAATACATGGAGAAGAATCGTAAAAAAAATTAGTTGGTCCCTGATGCAGAATTGCATTTCGATATTCTGAATGAAGTTGGCAATATTTGGTCACTGTTCTATGTACATCAAAAAAAAAAAAAATGTAGTATCACAAAATATGATCAACGTCGATCAGCGTGTGTCATCATATTTTAAAACCAAACATCGAGCCAACTCATCGATCGATTTGTC